TTTTCTTTTGATATATCCTTTAAATAACAATAATTATCTTTAAAACTTCATTAAATGTCGTTTTATTGTTAAAATAACATTTCTATAACATTAAAATGTTTGGCCGCCAGGCCGCTGGGCCGCCAACTTCACAAAAATGACAAAATAAAAAAGTTCTCTGAAAGTGATTTTTTTCTTTTGAATTATCCTTTAAATAACAATAATTATCTTTAAAACTTCATTAAATGCCGTTTTATTGTTAAAATAACATTTCTACAACATTAAAATTTTTGGCCGTCAGGCCGCTGGGCTGCCAGGCCGCCAACTTCACAAAAATGAGAATATAAAAAAGTTCTCTGAAAGTGATTTTTCTTTTGATATATCCTTTAAATAACAATAATTATCTTTAAAACTTCATTAAATGCGGTTTTAGTGTTAAAATAACATTTCTACAACATTAAAATTTTTGGCCGTCAGGCCGCTGGGCTGCCAGGCCGCCAACTTCACAAAAATGAGAATATAAAAAAGTTCTCTGAAAGTGATTTTTTCTTTTGATATATCCTTTAAATAACAATAATTATCTTTAAAACTTCATTAAATGCGGTTTTACTGTTAAAATAACATTTCTACAACATTAAAAATTTTGGCCGCCAGGCCGCTGGGCCGCTAGGCCGCCAACTTCACAAAATTGTCAAAATAAAAAAGTTCTCTGAAAGTGATTTTTTCTTTTTATAGATCATTTAAATAACAATAATTATCTTTAAAACTTCATTAAATGCCGTTTTATTGTTAAAATAACATTTCTACAACATTAAAATTTTTGGCCGTCAGGCCGCTGGGCTGCCAGGCCGCCAACTTCACAAAAATGAGAATATAAAAAAGTTCTCTGAAAGTGATTTTTCTTTTTATATATCCTTTAAATAACAATAATTATCTTTAAAACTTCATTAAATGCCGTTTTATTGTAAAAAATAACATTTCTTCAACATTAAATTTTTGGCCGTCAGGCCGCTGGGCTGCCAGGCCGCCAACTTCACAAAAATTAGAATATAAAAAAGTTCTCTGAAAGTGATTTTTTCTTTTGATATATCCTTTAAATAACAATAATTATCTTTAAAACTTCATTAAATGCCGTTTTATTGTTAAAATAACATTTCTACAACATTAAAATTTTTGGCCGTCAGGCCGCTGGGCTGCCAGGCCGCCAACTTCACAAAATGAGAATATAAAAAAGTTCTCTGAAAGTGATTTTTCTTTTGATATATCCTTTAAATAACAATAATTATCTTTAAAACTTCATTAAATACCGTTTTATTGTTAAAATAACATTTCTACAACATTAAAATTTTCGGCCGCTGGGCCGCCAACTTCACGCCGCCAGGCCGCTGGGTCGCTTGGCCGCCAACTTCACGCCGCCAGGCCGCTGGGCCGCCAACTTCACGCCGCCAGGCCGCTGGGCCGCCAACTTCACACATCTTATTTAATATAGCATTGATGAAAAAATGTACTCACTAAATGTTCCTTTTGGAAACGAAAATGACTTTGGTTGATTTGGTTCCGATGGAATTGTGCCACACATCATGATATTTTACTATTTTAAACTATTCATGTTAAGATACTTGTATGTGAACAGAAGTAAAATTTAAAGAATTGTGATGTCCGGACAATTCCCCTCCCGGACGATTCCCCTCCCAGTAAATTTGAATGTTTTTTCACAACCCGGACATTTCCCCCCCTGTTATTTTTTTACGGCGGACAATTCCCCTCCCGTTAATTTTACAGGGCGGACAATTCCCCTCACGTTATTTTAGCAGAGCGGACAACTTCCCCTCCCGCTGTTGTCAGAGCGGATAATTTCCCTCCCGTGGCTGTTGAACATATATATGTTATAATATTGTTTATTTTAAAGGCAAGACATGTCGATTTTTTGTAGCTTATTGTAAAATTGCAGTACATGAAAAACGGGCACATGACAAATCAGCACATAAATAAAACATTATAGTGTTCCGTGGTATATATCAACAGTGTCTTTCATCGCGTCATGATTGTATATTACCGCGCATTGCATAAGGGGCAAGTTAAGCGTTAAATTGCTAATCAGCGATGCGTTTTTTTTTTAAACTCATTTTTGGCCAAAATATTGGTCCGGCCAAGGCCGGACCGGCAGGAACATCGACGACGGCCTACCGTATGGTCTAAGTATGTGCTACCGATTCATTTCCGACGGTTTTCGTGTTTGTTTTTTCCTGCTAGGCTGCTAACTTCACAAATTTCGAAGCCTCAGAATGAAATAATTATGTTAAGATAAAGTTCAACTTCTTAAAAAATAAAGATCGCGATATTGAAAAAAAGGCGCAGAATGATCTAAAGAAGTGCTACTAATGTATTTCCGACTGTTTTCATGTTTGTACTATTCTAAGTTTTCTTTAGGCTGCTAGGCTGCCAACTTCAGCCTGCTAGGCTGCCAACTTCACTAAAAAATGATAAAATGAAAAAAAATATCAAAATGATTTTTTTTCTTTTTATATATCCTTTAAATAATAAGAAATGACTTTAGAACTTTATTAAATGCCGTTTTTTATTGTTTAAATAACATTTCTGCAACATTAAAATGTTAGGCCGCTGGGTCGCCCGGCCGCCAATTTCACGCCGCCAACCGCTGGGCCGCCCGGCCGCCAACTTCACACCGCAAGCCGCTGGGTCGCCGGCCGCAAACTTCACGCCGCCAGACCGCTGGGCCGCCAACTTCACACATCTGAGTTTTATGTTCTGCACACGAACTGCCGAAATTCTGGTAGCCTTTGCAAAAAGGGTTGGTCCATAACTTGACTGTCGCACAAAGTCAAAATAAAAGCGACATATAAAGTTATGGAAGCCAGAACAAATGTATTAGTTATTATTTAAGTTTTATAACGAAAAAACAAAACAAAAGAAAAAAAAACACACACACAGTGATTGAAACAGATCCAGTTAGGCATGGTGGAAATAATTATCTTAATTATTCTTTTTTTGGGCCGGTTGGTTGATAACTTGATATATACTGTGCGGTTTTAACATGTCTCTATTATTATCTTTTTCAATCTTTAAACTATATTTTTGTATCAGTTTAATGACCCGTGTTATTTGATCGCGGCCTAAACAGTCCAGTTTGTAAAATACGGAGACGTTAAAGGGCCTCCATCAGTGCAATCATGAGATTAATTAATTTATGTTCGTAAAAGTTTTCTCAGCAACTACTTATCACATCCTCTTGATATTTAGTATACAGCATTGACATATGGTCCCATACCGTGGGATTTGATATCAGGTCTGTTGCTCATCCACTTCCTGTTAACCGACTAAGTTAAATTTAAGACATAAATGGTCAATGGTAGGAAATTTTCGTAACAGTTTTCTCAGTAACTACTTGTCACAGCCTCTTGATATTTGGCATACAGCTTTTTACACATGATCCCATACCGTGAGGTTCGATTTCAGGTTTGTCGCTTTTCCATTTCCTGTTTACCAACTTTTCAACATTATTGGTCAATGGTAGGAAATTTTCGTTACATTTTCAACAGTAGCTACTTATCACAGCCGCTTGATATTTGGCCAATCGCAACTACTCGGCCCTTTCCGTCAGTCTTCGGATAAGGACCTCGAACACAATAGTATGAATACACAGAACGGATACGGTATTTCGGTCTTACCTACGCTAAGAAACTAGACATGTAAACAAATGGTAATTTAATGCTCCGAGTTGTTGACAAGTTTATTTCCAATATATCAAGTAAATGCCCATCTAAAATAAGTGAATTCATAGATACAAAAGCAGTCAATACATTATTTGTATATTTATTATTATGATTGTAGAAACCGAAAGTACAAAATGCCAACCTGTTGACATTCAGTAGCATTTGTTTAAAATTGTAAATCAGTGAGCATATTAAAATTAAAAATGGTTGTCAGATATATTTTCAACCATAATTGTACCGAAGCAGACTTGATTTTCTTTTGGATGTCAATTATATCTACATTCGTTTTACATCTCTCTCTCTCTCTTTATGTTTACATCTGTGACCACGTGGTAGAACTACTTTCACTCCGTATTGTTTCCGGGGTTATTATAGATAATAGCCCAGGCAGTTCCGAATGGATATTTGGCATACAGCATTGACATGTCGTCCCATACTGGGGGATTCTATTTCAGGTCTGTCGCTCATCCACATCCTGTTTACCGATTTAATTAACTTTTTTACATTAATGGGCAATGGTAGAAAATTTCGTAACAGTTTTCTCAGCAACTACTAATCACAGCCTCTTGATATTTTGCAAACAGCATTGACACGTCGTCCTATACCGTGGGATTCTATTTCAGGTTTGTCGCTCACCCACTTCCTGTTTACCAATTTAGTTGGGTTTTTTTTTACATAAATGGACAATGGTGGTCATTTTCTTAACAGTTTTCTCAGCAACTACTTATCACAGCCTCTTGATATTTGATATGCAGCATAAGCACATGGCCCATACCGTGGGATTCGATTTCTGATGTGTCACTCATCCTCTTACTTTTTACCGACTAAGTTAAATTTTCGACATTATTGGTCAATGGTAGGAAATTTTCGTAACATCACAGCTTCATGATATTTGGTATACAAATGCAAAGAGTTTTTTTCTGTCTTTGACCCATTTTAAAAAAAAAACCTGGTTTCTTGGCATTGCTATGTTTTCTTGTAAATATACTTTAATGATTAAATAATGTTGAAACTCAATATATAATGTTTAATAATCCTGACACTTTTCCTGTACATCAATATGTCCGTTATTTATTGCCTAAATATCGAACTTACCGCATTCTCGGTGTAACATCCGCGTCTTAATTTTACAGGTTATGCACTGTGTTGTCTCACTACTGATTTAAGTTTAAGCTTTTTAAAACAGAAGACGCTTCATCTATGTATTAATGATATTGTAACTGATACTATTTTAACAAAATACAATACATAAATGACATTCTAGATATGGTAGATATGGCTATATTTTGTTATCGTGCGTTTGACATAGTTATTTTTTTCTTAAAACGTGAGAAATTGTAAAATCTTCATTCCGGATAAAAAGAATCATCGGAGAATGATTTCAAAACAGAATATTAAAGTTAGCTTAGTTATTCTTCTTTTCGTGTACATATGTATACAGTTATTTATAGTGCAAGTGAAAAGTAAGTTCTTTTTATTTATTGTCTTATTGAGTATCACTTAAAATCATTTAAATTCTAGATAATCAGTTAATGAAATAATCATTTTTAATTTATCATTTTATATTTAATATATCTATTTTCTTTCATTATCACGTTCACATAACCTAATTTTCATTCATGTTCGCCTTAATTGATGTAAGAAGTTATATTTTAACGTATGTATTTTTAATTTAAAAAATAAGATGGGCTGGGCATTGTGTACTTTCTCTGTAAAATTAATGAGGGGACGAAATCTAACAATAATTATCATCAACTTATTTTGAAGTATCTTTTTGAAATATTCATTCACTGTGCCAATTGTTAAAATTTCAGATTATAAGTCAAAGCCTTCACAAATGATTTCCTACGATCAAGTAAGTGTTGTTTTTTTCTTTATACTTAACAAAAACATACTTCTTCGAAATAAAATTTGCTTATCATTTAGTTATATTTTTAATCATGCGCGTTCTTCATGTGGTTCTTAAAGTCTCATTAGTCAGCTGGTCAAAGTTTCAATGATTAAAATCAGTTCCTATTTCACGCTATATGCAGGAAATAACTTAAGTAAATCTGAACTTAAGTCAGACTGGTGTCAAAGTTGTTGACTTTAAATCATTCGCCTATTCCCTCTATTGTTTGATACCCCCGTCAACATCCTTAAACCTTCCTGTAATGCTGGTTCTGTTAGAAAGCAGTACAGATATCTTCGGTGGTTCTAGCCAGATACCTGTCGTTACGGAAATAATGCATGAATGGGGCATATGGAACCATTATCCACTTATGAAAATTGTAAATCCTTTTTTTACCGGGGAAAAATAGTTACGACTTACAAAATAATAACATTTTGTACTTGTATTTGTTGAAAAGTAATTCAAGTAAGAATTTCACTAGCAAAATGTTACTCTCCAACAGCTGTCACAAAAAGTTTGAATAAGGACCATATCGTTATGTTTAAGGCAGGTGATTCGGTCCGCTTAGGTTTACAATAAGATTTAGACGTTTATGTTTTGCAACATGAATATTATGGAGGGCGTTCGTTGCCAAAATTCCAGACATGTAAAGTGTTCCTTTTTAAAATGACTTTTGAAAATGCGCACATGTATGCCTACCAATTTTTTATTGTACCCGTGCATAGCACATAATATGCCTCTTAATTCAATCTTTTAATTGAAGGTTCCACCTTTATATAACAAGTTTACATATATATCGTAACAACTGACCTAACATCTAAAACGACAACAAATGTACAAGTTCGTATCTTCCATTGCATGCAATACATATGCATGTTTGCACACTTATAGATCTGAAATATACAAATGAAATGTAAATGTTAAATACAGAAAATAGAGTTTAAGAAAACGTATTACCAATTGTAGAACTACAAGAGTACGTTAACACAGTAACATGTTTAAAATTACAAAAGTAGATTCACAACTTTAAACGATTTTAAGTCAAGCATAACGCCCCGCCCCTCTCGGAGTATTTACGAACTTCTATTGCGGACAGGTATAAAACGGCGCCTCTCCCATATTTCTAAATAAAACTGAAGGACACCATACGGCATTTTTCATAACATATATTTGTTACATTTGTTACAAAAGCTTTGTCACTAGCAACATCACTTGAAAATTGCTGATTTTACCATTTATGATGAAGATAACTTATGCATTAACTTTTTATTAAACATCGTGTTCTTATCAGTTACAAATTATTTATCATTTTAGTGATCATAGCCTTTCCGTGCTCTGCCTAGTGCCCTGTCCTGTGTTTTGTTTGGGGTCCGCCTGGGCTCCTTGCCACTTGTTCTTATTGCTGGGTCATGTAGGGTTGCTTTCATTGAGCCCCACCTTTCCTTGTTGATCTTGTTTATCATATATTCCTGAGAAACATCGGCGATTTGGAAATTTTTCAGGGGAAACAATGACCAACTTCAATCAACTTCATCACTTTGTTTCCAGATTTTTATACTTCACAACAGCAGTTGTCAAGTGTCGTGTGGCAGCTGTAAAAAGATGCCCCGTACTTCACTTCAGTGTTTTTATATTTTTCTGGTCCTTCGGGATCATTGATGCCAACGCTATTAAGTGTCGAGAATTGAGTACCGTTCAAGCCGGTGCTAGGGGGCGTGAGGGATGTTGCACTTGTTCATTATCCATCATGTACAGACTCAATCAAACTGATTCTGCTATTTTTGTTTTTTTAATTTTGTTGTGATTAATGCTTCCGAGGGATCACTTTGTTTCCAGATTTGTAATTTACTTGTTCAAAGCTTATGGTCTTAACTTTCATTCAATATTCTTTTTCTTTTTTTGAATAAAGTATCTAAAGGAAGCAACGTGATTTTTAACTTAATATATGAGTGTGGTTTTAAGAAAGAAAAAATAATCAACGATAAGTTTGAAACAAAATTTTTAATACTTCTACGTAATTAATTTTCGTTTTTAAGGCATCACTAGAAAGTTCATAAAGGATTCTTTTACTTGAGTCTAAAATTATCAAAATTGACCAAGAAATAAAAAAAGTAAGTAGGGGGCGCCATGTTTCTCTTACTGAATTTCAGAGTGTGTTTTGTTTTTTTTTTACTTGGGGACCATATGCCATTTTTCATGGTATGGCACTTACGTGTCACATTGTAGGTTTCATGATAATCGCCATATTAACACATCTGCGGATGTTTCAAAATTCAAAATTGTACCAGTTCATGTTGAATTTTGCCTAAGCCAGTGCTAGGGGGCGTGGACGGTAACTTGCTCTTTCCATTACCGTGAACAGGCTCAATCAAACCGACCCTGCAACATTCTCAATTTTGTCGTTTTGAGTGTTCTTTAGGGATTCTTATTTTCTCTATTTTACAGAAAGTAACATGATAAACTTTTAAACAAAAAGTTACTTCATTTTGATTTAATTCATTTTTATTTTTAGGCATTATATAATAATATATCATAAATCGTATGAACCACACTTTTATTTCAATCCAAAATTTGGAGGGAACACCGTGTTCTTCTTACCAATTCTCAGAGGAAAAAATGATACATTTTGAAACAAAAATTTCAATACATCTATTGAATTCATTTTTATTTCCGAGGCACTCATTGAAAGTTTTATTTGATACCAAAAATATTTGACTTTTTATAGAAATAAAAAAAAAGTTAGAATGGACGCCGTGTCTTCCTTCACTTTATTGAGAAATAGGAGATAGACGACGGGTATTATACCTGTCCGTACATTTCCGTAATAGAAGATCGTAAATACTCAGAGAGGGGCGGGGCGTCATGCATGACTTAAAATCGTTTAACTTTGTGAATCTACTTTTGTCATTTTAAACATGTTACTGTGTAAACGTACTGTTGTAGTTCTACGGCTGGAAACACGTTTTATTAAATTATGTTTTCTGTATTCGAGTTTAACATTTCATTTGTATTTTTCAGGTACAGATAGATATCTACAAGTATGTAAACATGCTTATGTATTATATGCAATGGAAGATACGAACTTAAATTTGTTGTTTTCATGTAAACTTGTTATTTAAAAGCGGGTACCTTCAGTTAAAAGATTGGATTAAGAGGCATATCATTTGCTATGCACGAATACAATCAAAAATGCTAGATATACATGTTCGCATTTTCAAAAGTAGTTTTCAAAAGGAACACATTACATGTCTGGAATTTTGGCAACGATCGCCCTCCATAGAATATAATTTTTATTGCTTCGTGGTAGCTACTTCTATGACGGTATAATGTGGACATGATTTCGTCATAAACCTATCAAATTAACAATATTTGTGGGCATATAATAACTTGCTGCGTGCTTTTTAAAATCAGATCGGGCGCCATATATTTCGTTTGTAAAAACTTGATTATGAATCGAAAAGCGACCCATGACGTTAGAGCAGTAGAGAGAAGCGGAAAATCTAAATCTACCACGTATTCTAAGATTACATTCATCAGTATTGATTAACAAAATTCTTTTCAATGGCGCTTATGTTTTAGGCGATTATGTACACGCGCAATACTGTATTATGTACTAGTAATAGTAATAGAATACTACATGGTGTACAATATTGATATTCATATAACCATAGTACACAGGTTTGAATTACAATCAAACTTACACACATGTGCTCACAGGCGTACTGCTCATGTGCTCGATACTAGTAATATAAATTTTGACAGATGATAATTTTACGATAATGTTATCATTATAATGGGTTTGCGACCAGCATGGATCCAGACAAGCCTGCGCATCCGCACAGTCTGATCAGGATCCATGCTGTTCGCTTACCAACCCTATTACAAGTAGCAAAACTGATAGCGAACAACATGGATTCTGATCAGACTACACGGATGCGCAGGCTGGTCTGGATCCATGCTGGTCGCAAACCCATTATGTTGGTTTTGTCATGACGCGGCTCAACTATTCTCTAAAAATGATTAATGGTTTTATCTAGAAGGAAAGACTGTTTAACATATTTAGCATGAAAGGGGGCCAGTTGTTAGATATAACACTTCTATCTGGTTGTTTCCGCTCTGTATTTCTATAAACATGTATTATATTTACACCGTGTCTAAGACCCATCTTAATTTACTTCCAGTTAACCCATCCCAAATTTTTGAGTTGTTTTCACGAATTTTTCATTTCTAGTTTTCATCAATTTTAAGGCCTAGAGAAGTAGTAAAAGTATCTTTACATTAATATTTTATTATGTAAAAATAAAACAGTTTCCTTTTTAATAATTTAAAGGCAAAATAACAGTTTTGAAATGTGATATATTAGAGGTAACCTGACACTTTATGTCAGATATTGATGTGTGTTTTAGTGCTTTTTTATTTTAAGGTAAAAAGTGTATATATTATGTTACAATGTAACTGTATCTAAGAATTGAAAGATGACCATGATTTTTGCGTTTACTTGTTGAGTTTATTGGGTTGATTTTGCACCTTTTAACATGATGCAATGATTTTAAAATGATGTATAGCCAATGTTTTTTGTTGATTCAACATCTGAGTTTTAAAACAATTTCATTTTGTGAGCTTTGACAAAGATCTGCCATTAATTCTTAATATTAATGTTAACAGGTGTTGAAGAAGTATTTTAGCTATTTTCTTCAAAAGGACCCTAGACATATTTTCTCTTTAGTTATAATCACGGCAGTAAATTAAAATACAACAAGTTAAAGCCACTGGCCTCCAAGTGGTAAATTGAAAAGATTTCAATTTAACAGTAAATCATGATTCAGCTATGTTTAAATGTGTAAATCTATTACTGGCATCTTATAGTTCAAGAAAGAATGTTGACAAAAGAGTCAATATATCGTGTTCCTTCTTTGCATAATCTACTACGTTACAAACCCAGTAGCCAATGTAAATATAAATAG